TTTATTTTGTCTTTCGTTTTATTTGCATTTTGTATAGATTTCTTGCTGATATTTTTGATAGGCGTGTTTCATTTTATATTCGGAGCGATTATGCTTTAAATGTTACTGGTTTTGGTATCTATGTTTACTACAACTTCTTTGTTACATTCGACACACGGGGTATGCTTGCAAATTTGATGGCATTCGTTTAGAATCACCTCGTATATTGTACTGTGGAGCCTAAAGTTTAGAGCTAGGATACGTGTGTTCTATTTTACACGAAATATGTGACCATATATGATTTGCAACATCACATGTAGATTGACAAACACTGTCATGTAGTGTATGCATGACAGTGGGGATAATCTTTGTTCCGGATTATGGCTTCAGTCTTGGAGAAATTGTTTCATCATTGGCGATAAGAGAATCGTCTGGTTAATCTACTTCAGATTTTGGTGGTTTCGCTTCGAGTAACAATATTTTGTAAAGCACGTCTTTTTGACACTGTTGTTCTTTTTTGTGAACAATTGAACAATTTTCTCAAAACTTTTTGTATTCACAGAGTGCAACAACGCAGTGAACGTGATCTATAATTCTTTAAACTCGAAATTTGATCGACTTTGCATTCATTAGTTAATTTTTACAATTTATTTTTCAAATAAATTATTATATGATTAAAATATTAAAAATTAAAAGAAAAATCGTGATTTATAAAAGACTCATTGATCTCAGAATTTTCTAATTAAAATAGAAACATCTTAAATATAACTCCTTAAATTTGCATATTTCCCATATTAAAATTTCAAATTTTTCATTAAGATCGAATAAAATTCTAACAAAACATATCACACTTTCCACTTAAAACGCAAACTCGTTGCGGAAGGGACGAATATTCTTTTTATAGCTTGTTCCAGTAAACTGTAAATTCATACGAATGTGCGGAATCTAAATATCACTCACAGGCAAGACACATCAAAATCTGAAGTAAACCCAGTATATAGATCGTTCTACAAAGACAGAACATTCTGGTCCATAAATCATCGAACACTTGAATCATCAGATGCAAAATAAAACTAAAAATTAGATCGCTCTGATAAAATCTCTTGAGAAGTAAAGCTCAAAGGTTAACATTAAATATTTTCGTTGTAATTAAATTAATCATTCACATGGCATATGTTAAATGTTGTTTTAAATATTTAAATCAATCATGGTGGTTTTGACATTTTCTCCAAAAAACTCTGTCTTATTCTTCAACGTGTGTACTTTTGTGTATTTTTATGTCTAATTAGTGTTACTACTTTATAATTGCATTAAGTTTCATTCAGTGCAGAATATATTACACAATTAGAAGCTTCTTACCCCCCATTCTTCAAAATTAATTTTGAAAGAAATTCTGGAATCAACCCTTTGGTTTATAAATCCTCCACAACTGCGCTTTATCAATAGTTCTTTTAAAGAAGGAATTTCATGTTGGTTTTATGTCCACCTTGACCCCAGAGGTTAACAATTCATAAATGGAAAGTAATATTGCATTTGAATTCAAAGGAATCGAATAGTATTTGCATCTGTTAACTTTACTTCGACATTTCGTCATGAATCAGCCGCATTATTAGCAAACATGGGTTAACCTTTTGTACACAAGAGTTTGTAAACTTTCAAACGCTCTGTTTGGAAAAAACTGAGTTAGGCGACAAAGTGTATCATTTGGTTTTAAAATCAAGTCACATATCAATGTCTCGTTGTTTGAATAAATAACCCTTCGCACTCTCCCTAAGAAAGGCGACTCTAAGTTGCCACTCGAGTTGATATAATGCAGTAATATGTAAAATCTTAAAATAAAACAGCTCTATTCCTTAATCTACGTATGATTTCCCTTTAAGTTAATTACAAAAAAATCATCTATGTTTCATTAGAGAAAGTTTCGAGTGCAAAGGGTTAAATTATTTACATGCATCTCGAAGTCCCCATTACGGTGGCTTTCGACCACTAATCAACTACATCTTTCAAACAATTATTGCTCACATAGCTAAAGTCTTTATAATCCTCTATATTATAGTTCACATTGTCTTTATGATAATCAGAAATCCCCTAACTCACAACACACAATTCCAAACGTTCAGTACCTTATAAATGAGAATATACGGTATGGAAAGAACTGCTTTATCTCGATGGAAAAATAAAAAATAAAAAACAAATGTCTACATTGAAGAAATTAAACTTTTTCAAAGTCAAAAGTAATTTTGCTGCAGCTTCCTTACATCAATCTCCATTAAATCGAAGATGTAGAATTCATCTGTGATAGCCAAGACAGAACATTTCTTTCCACACTGTACATCAATCCACGCGGCGAAACCTGGTTGACAGAAAGATTAGTGCTTTGATCGAATGATCAGGTGCCGTTGATTGCATACCGATCTACCCGGTGCCAACGGCGCGGATCATCGAATCTCAGTGTATGAAGAAAATATATATTTTGACACCGTTGACAAATCTCCCAGTAGAATGTACCTACGTTAAGCTTGATCCGTACGCTCTCGCACGCCTAAATCACCTACGTATGTACCTGTTTTTATTGGCCCCTTGCCACGCAGCAGCAACGGTGACACGAAACCAGCGAACGAAAAGCCGCTAGCCAGCTAGCAAAGAGAGTACTCTAGACATTGCGTACTCGGCTTAACAATTTGAACACGTTAAACGCGAAACTATTTTTGCTCTGCCTGAATTCAGAAACCATGTATATACATATGTGTATAAGTGACAGTCATAATTAATTGAAGTAGCTTCATTTTGTTCAACCCGTTGACTGCCACGAGAGTCCCGAATGTTTTGTATAGTAATACATATTCTTGCACCACAAAAGCAGATGGCATTAGAAATCATTATTAATAATAATATAACTGTTTAGAATTATTTAATCTACTTAGAATCTTGAGCGTTTCTCGTATCGAATAACTACAATTCACTCCATTAAACGATGATTATTTGAACACATTCTTATATTATAAATAATGGTACATAATAATGGATAAAAATTCAATTCAGTAATATGATAGTATGTTTCTCTCGTTTTGTGTCTTTTACTCCGCGAAATCGTGTGTTCAACGTGTTAACACTAGAGTTAACAGGTCAGAATGGTCCATTTCTGATTTCTTCTTTCCAAATTGCTTGAAAATAATTATTATCCAAAATTTGATGTTGATTGAACATATTCAATAACACAAGTGACTAGATAATAGCGTACCGCAAGAACTCTGATACTAACTTATTAATAATTCATTCTAACGCTATTTGGCTTTGATATGAAAGAATAAGTAATATTCTACTGAACGCTCAAAATTTCGTGGCTGTCAAGATATTTCTGTTCCAAAATTGCTAATGACTTCTATACATGTCGATAGTCTTGTATCGCACGCACTAAATTCTTTCGACACATATCACTCTATACGAAATTGTTGATAAATTAAATTAGCATCACGTATCTGCGTAGAATAGGTAAAAACAAATTTTTTTTTAAATAACAAGTGGTTAACCCTTTGCACTTGGAAGTTCTTCTCGCCAGACATATTCATCATTTTCTAATGAAATATTAATGGTACTTTTCACGGCTAACATAAATCTGTATAATATACCAACAGAGGGATAGAATCGTTCTATTCCAATATTTCATTTATAATTACATTACACGGACGTTGTTATCGAATATCGAACGTTATAATTTCACTGCGTCAAACCAAACGGTAATTGTAAATCACTTTCCGACCACAAAGGGTTAACACGTTAACGCCGGCGTGTACCACCGGTGATTCACATTTGAATGTCACCTCAGACGTCGTGTACCATTGTTTTTTTCTATTGTACATTCTAAATTGCAACCCAATTGAGTCATTGGCAATTACTTTAACCCGTTACACTCGATGTATTTTCAATGTTGTTGGGTGTAAACTTGTATTTATTTTTAGGAAAATGGATTTAGGTAATTTACAACGTAGAATTCAACGTTTTATGTTTATTTTATTTACTATTATTGTAATAAGATTTAATTTGTTTAATCTTTTCAAGTGTGGTACTTTTTCAAACAATTTCCAACGTTCTATAACAAATTTATGTTGTTATTTCCAGCATGACATATAAATGCAAAGGGTTAAATTATACAGATGGGTTATCTATGTATATGATTATATTGTGCATTCCTTACTTACGTATGACTCATAAAATTAACCAGTTAACCGTGGAATTTAGTTCGAAAAATCTCTCATTGTGCACGTATTATACACGTCGATAGTCTTATTGGATTACAAACTCCAGATTGTTTTGAAATCTACCACTTTGCACAGAGTTATTAATAAACAAAGTTAGTGTACATATCCGTATATAATAGACGAAGATAAAATTCTTCGCGTGAGATGCTGCCGACTCTCTGAATTCGTTGCCGCAACAAGTGGTTAAGGTGACATGTATACTCGTCGAACGCAGTTAACTGGTTAAATATAGTATTTCGATTTGTTTTAAAAATTTCAAAACATTAGAGCATCAGTGAACTGTTCTGGTTACTCCTGTAGAGTCTTCACTTATTTGATATTTTCTTCTCTCCATCTGGTATTTAATACACGATGTGATTCATTGAGTTCACCGTGTTGCATCAGTTGCACATTACTGATTCACACTTTGATATTCCATTAGGTGCCTCACACTTTGTCACATCAGACGGCATCTATCATGCAAATACTTCGTTGAATTGGTCAAAAATAAAAAAAACATGCTATATGCTTGGAAGTTAATTTACTTACTGATCATTTCAATAATTTCAACAATTCTAAGAATCTCGTTACCACATGGAAAGTAACTTAAAAAACATCACTGGCGTGAACGTGTTAACACTAGGTTTACGGAACGCATGAATTCGACACTGAATTTTACAAACATTATCTAGTAAATGTTTTAGTCGGTTGTAATGTTTCCAACTATACAAAAATATATCCTATCTGTCTACTTTTAACCCTTTGCACTCGTATGTTACGCCGGAGATGACAATACAAATTTATTATACTCGATTCGTGTTACTTCAAAAAGTACCGCACTTTAAAAAACTATACAAATTAAATTTTATAATCATAAGAATCAAAGAGCTAAATAGAAACGTTGAATTCTACCGCTGCAAATTACTGTAATTCATTTCCTTAACAGTAAATACAAGTTTACATCCAACAACATTGAAAATAAATCGTGTGTAACGGTTTAAATCTATAATTTTCAAAATCTAAATGATAGAGTATCAACTTTTCTTGGAACAATAGAATAAAGTGTACAATAAATGCCCGTGAACTTGTTAAACACGTCGATGGGTCTGTTCGGATCGGATCGGTTCGGTTCGGTTCAGCTCGGCTTAGAGGTCTCTATCGTCATCCGTGGCGCATGCGTTTTCACGCGTTCCCGGTTATATTTGGCGGACAGTCCGTACGCTACCGCCGTACACGCGCGCGAGCGAATGTGGTGGTTTGTGAGCACGATGGAGAGAGCGCGACGGTTTCGTTCCTCCTCTCTTCTCTTTCTTCTCGGTTTCACGGTTTTTTCGCTTTCTCGTTACTTCCTTGCCGTCGTCTTTTTCGGCTACTACGATTTCGACGGCCATTGGACTACCGGACGATTTTTGAACTGTGAACAAGAAAATGAAATTTATGTGAGACCTTGTTTCAAATTTTGGTTTTACTGATTTTTTCTTTTATTATTGTTTTTTTTCTTAAGGACCTTGGTGGGACTTTACCTCGAGATTGGTTGTTCTTGGTGCTTGGTAGTTGATGGAATTCAAATTTTGTACTTGCAGGGATGCTATGTGACTCGTTTGAGATCCACGGATTTTTGCAAAAACCGGTCGAAATATGCCAAGCGGCGCGATCGCTCTTTTTTCGTTTCAATTTAGAAATTGAATTACGTTTTTCTATTACAAATACAAATTTTAAATAGTGCGATTGTTACATTTTTTCAGTCTTAAACGGATAATAACAAAAATAAAAATGAATAATTAGAAGAAAAAGAATTAAATATAAGCTTCATTTGATTCTACTAACCGATAGACTAGCACTTTTAGACAATCTAACAGAAGCGCCATCGCGCCGCTTGGACAAACAGTTGATACACGTGTAAAACGATAGAAGCTTGTTTTATGAAATGTCTTGATATGTGATGGGGAATAATAATATTTGCTGTTTTTAAAAGTATGCAACGAAGAATGAAAGTTCTTTGAATTACTTGTTAAAATTGTTTGTCATTAAACTCTATGATTCTGTTTTTTGATTATTTTTAATGATTATTTAATGACAGATATAGTTGTCAAGTACAACGATTTTTCGATGCTCTACATATGTTCCGAGTTTGATCGAAGTCTTGCCGTTCAAATTCTATCATGTTCCTTGCCAGTTTTCTTTGATTGATGAAAAACTATTGGAATTATTCTGAAAACAATTTTTCTTAGTATAGTCTTTAAAATTTTAAAGTGTAATTTTTGTTGTCTCCTTCAGGTGGTCTCATTCAACTTTACATGTTCGTAGAAAAGTATTAAACTCTTTCATTGAGTATTTATTTATACAGATAAGAGTACAATTAATATTATAACAACTAAGTATTCTAAATTATTCATATTTAGTTTCTTATAAAAATGATAAAATTACATCTCTTCAACTTTCTATACGACGCTCATTCTATTTCATAAATAAAAACATACATTTTTCAAATACCAGTGAACACTTTAATAAATTGCTCGTGACCGTCGTTTTCCGTGTTTATAAACACGTAACGGTTAACTCCAGGCATCGCGAATCTTCAACCCAGACACACCTGAGATTACAGTCCGTATTCAATCTTTGTTTCGTTCCGCACGGCGTTTACCGTCTCCAGGCAGACAAGTGTCAAGTTCCTAGTAATTGTAGAAAAGGATAGCTAAAGTCAGTAATTTTAACAAATATAATAGTTCTTATATAAACACTTAACAGGCGACACACGTATGTTTATATATTTTCATGCCAAGTTAATGTTTAGCAAAACACTTTACTAGTTAGAAGTACTAGTTATGAAAATAAGTAATTTCTCAAAATTGTTTTAATAACGATACTAATTTAATAAAACAGCGATGATTCAAAGACGTGCCTACAGGTTTGTATCATTTCCTCAAAAATTCCAGAACTGAACAAGAATAGACAAAAAATCAGCCGTCCGTTAAGTGTTAAGGTCGGTTTAGAGCAGTGAGTGACCATGAAATAGAATGTAACTTCCTTAGCCAGACACGTACAAAATTCCATTTTAATCCCCTGTATCATATTAAATCCGAGATGACAATTTTTAAATGAACTTAACAAATGTAAATTTCATTTATCCTTCTTCGAATATAAATTAAATATTATATTTCTATTATCAATCGTTAACGTTTGAAATAAACGCAAGCGTAGAGTAAATATCAAATTCTTTTTTTTTGTTGTCATAATAAATAATTTTATTATGAAAGTAATCATAGGAAAGGAGATCAGAGGAGCAATTCTCTTCGCGTATTTTATGCAGTCCTTTCGTTCTTGAATATGTATTGTTTTTTAATATGAATTTTATGAAAACTGTTTCGCAGTAATGAACCAAAACATATGTACTCACAGCTAATTAGCACTTACTTTGTCAGACATAAGCAAAGATCCCCTTTATCTAGGCGTTTTCTCTAGCTTTCCAGCAAGCTTTAGCTAGAAAGGGTTAAAATGCATTTAATAAACGTTGCAACACTAAACGTGTCGATGCTTTGTATATACTTATACCTACTGTAACTAGTCCAATAACTAGTCATAAAATGAAAGTAAACGAGTTAAACGATAAACATTTCTTATTGGAAACAGAAGGAAAGACAAAAATTGCAATACTGATTAATCTAATGGAAATTGATTTTACTTGTTGGCTGTGGAATTTAATTTGAAAAATCTCTCGTTGTAGGGAGAGGGTATATTAGAATATAATTTAATGAAAAACCAAAGTAAAACAAAGAAAAATTACATGTTTATCTGAAAAATAAAGAATTCATCGTTGATAAAATATGTATCATTTCAAGCTTTAAAACGCAATTAATTGCATTTAATTTTATATGAAATTTTAAAACCGGTCACGTTAACATTTTTAGAGTTAGTTTATACAGGGTGGTCCACCGGTGACTCCCAACTAAATCAAATTACTGCAATTCACTCGACTAAACGACGATTATTAAAACTTTCCTATATTATAAATAAAACAACTCGATCAAATAACTTTTTTCATTTTGTATATTGTCCGGCATTCAACGTGTTGATATAAAATTACATGCCATTGAAGAGCCTATTAATAGTAGTCCAGTAGATAATGCGTGAAAGTGTAAGGTCCAAAAAGAGTCGGCCTAAAACTACTCGCTACCTACCCTTCGAAGAGAGGAGGCATGTCGTAACATCCCGCCGTGCGGTTTTGAACGGTCGAACGTGTCCAATCGAGCAGGAACTAACCTTTCCCAAAGCGTTTCGGCGTCGACGAAAGCGGAACGAAGTGTTTTAAGCGTCACGCGTCGTAGAGAGATAATTCCTCCTTTTATCTTGGACAGAACAAACGTGGCACCGATTAAAATCTCTACAGTTTGATTTTACAGTTTTCGCTGTTCGTACAAGTTGGCGGTCATTAACCCTTAGCGACCTTAACGGCAATGTTTAACAGACACATTTTCCAATTGCTTTATATTCTATTTATATGTATATAAATATTTATATAATCTAAATTTATATTTTATATCATATTAACACGTTGACTGCCACGGTGGCCACCGGTGACCGGAGCTTCCAAATTGCTTGAAAACAATTACAATAAGAAAATTAATATTGAATCAAAATATTTGGTAACACAAGAAGCTAGATAATAGTGTAAAACGAGTACTGTAACATCAAACAATAAATATTTCTAATATTATATTCTTCTATTATAAAAGAATAAATCTTATTAAAAACGCTCGAAATTCTTATGGCAGTCAACGTGTTAATAGATTTAATAATAGTATCTATTTTATTATGAAATCACTTTGGATGATTTAACACTTTGCCTAGTCTCTGAAATTATCTCTCTAAAATGCGAAGAAATAAGTTTTTACATTAACAGTTTTCGAAGAAAAGGGACCATATAGTAGGAAAGTATATTGGGTTGATAAGGGTTAAATACATTCTAAATACTCTTCGATATATTTTCTATGATAACATTTATTACGCGTGGTTTACTCGATTTATATTTTTATTTCTGCATTCGTAACAATATATAATAAGAATTATATCTAGATTATGGTTTTCGGTTGATACAGAGGAACAATGTTTGTTAGATTATTCGCAGGATGCTCATTCAACTAGCATTGCTTATTGCGTTTTTATGCGAATGCACAAGGAAAAGGATTAAATCTGTCGCGTTTTTATTTGAACGAGCATGTATACAATCGAGTGAATAATGTTTTTATTAGTTCGCTGATTCGATAATTTCCCGTGTTTTATGATTGGTTAATTATCAATTGATCTATAGATACTTCATTTTTGTTTTTGCCATTGCTCAAAGACTAAATTTCATACTGATAATTGAACTGAAAATTCGATGCATTTAAAACATTTTTAATGTTTCAGTAGGAAAAAATAAATATTTCGATTACAGTTTCTATAAATAAGTCTGCAATGTAATGTTAATAATTAGGTCGCAGAATTTATTCCAATAGATTTTTTCCAATATCAGTAGTGTGAGTAACTTATAAATAATCGATTAGCTAATTAATCATTTTTATGAATGGAATTTAATTTATATGTCATTATTATTCTCAGTAGTAACGAGATAAAGACAACACAAACTTATCGATAGAGGGTCGATAAATAAAAGATAATTTTAATTCCAACAGAGAAAGTTTTAATTTTAATAGATAAACACCTGTCACGGTGTCACACAAGCCTCTTTTTCAAATCAGTCTTCGTTCAGGTGAAATATATTTCTAAAATATTCTTAATAATTCTGGTTCTAAATATCATTGCATTCTATACTGTAAACGAATGCATGTGTTTATCTTTATAGCCTGACTCTATAGGTCGCTATCGATCTTGCATATAGTGGTTTCTTCGAAAGACTCAGTGACTCATATGTTTGTCACGTTATTTCCACATAACCATTGATTATGTGAAATAATATGCTTTACTAAAAATATTACATAATGTAAACAATATTTTTATCTCTGTTGTTTCTACTTTTTACGTTCTTATAAAAAATAATTTGTCTCGATTTCAACGTGAAATTTAAAATGTTTCACACAATTAACACTAAACGTACCGGCACTTTAGCTAGCGATCATATTTTTGCAATTGAAATATAGGTGATTGTTGATTTAATATGGAACCAATGGACAAAATAACTCTCAAATAATAAGAAAAACATTACACTACAACACTTTCATTTACTCTGAACAAGAACGGAAAACTATAGATGCATTTTTAATTTGGAAGCATCGGTCCGAGCGTGGTACGTTTAGTGTTAAGAGATATAAATGTATCACCTTTTCACGAGCAAATTTGTCACAGTATGTCTTTCGAGGTCGGTGACCAACGTCGTTATAGTAGCACAGTCATAGTAGGTTCCCTACTGTACCAGTTGCAGATACTGTTAGATAGGTAGTTCCCTAATTGACACTAATTCGAGATCAACTCTTTGACACTTTCAAGTGAACACAAACGTCAGAGGTAATCTCGACACTTGCTCGAAACGTGGACTGGTAGCATTAATCTTCGTTATTGTATTGGACAGGCAAAAGACAGAAATTTAAACGATAGAAAATAAATTCCTTGCAGTTCGACATATTCTCTCAAATATTTCTTAATTCTGTAGCTTGATGTAACACTTTTCTATTTTATTGGAACATTTGAGAAGCTATAAAATTGTAATTACAGTGACTCAAATTTCCTCGGAAAAGAATAACATATTCATTTCTAACGAAGACAAATATGCGTTACATAATCAGTTCAGTTGAAACAGTAAAATGTTGAATTTCCTTTAATTATCCTATAACGTACAATTGAAACCAAATGTTTCTTTCGCATTATCTTGTTTTTGGTCAGTCATTAGTATACTGCTAATACCGAAAGATAGCATCATTATGACATAACGATACGATACATTCAACGTAACGTTAGGTAACGTTCCTCTTGCTCCTAAAAAGCTTGATGCTTGGCACTTGCAACCTTTTCTACAAATACTCTTCAATTGTTACGTGGAATATGTGGATAAATAAACATGAGTCACTGTGTACATCTTACAATCAATAACAATAACAAGTAAATAAAACAAAAGTCGGTGCAACACGCAATAATTGAAATATAATCCAATACGCAATCTGCCTAAAACAAAACCATAAGGGTTAACCCTTTGCGGACGACAATTTCTCAAACCTTAACAACATTTTCCTATATAAAATTTCATTACGCATGGAAATCTAGTATAACTTTGTTATACTTTATTTATGGTATTTTAAAGGTTTAAGGCACTTTAAAAGGTAATAAAACTGAAATCTTATTATAATAATAATAATAAGTAAAATAAATATAAAACGTCGAATTCTACCGTTGTAAATTACCTTCATCCATTTTCCTAAAAGTAGATACAAGTGTACACTCAACAACATTGAAAATAGGTCGAATGCAAAGGGTTTATACCAGTGAATGATCACAAAGTAGAATGTGACCTCCGTAGTCAGACACGTAAAAACTCTATTTTGTCGTTTCCTACAAGAAAGTCATATTTCTCGATCGGTACACGTTGATGCTGCAACGCGCACTGCACTTCCTGCAGGCTGACTGACGGCCCGTTGCGACATGGTCCTGTCCGCAGCCTTGAATTCGTTCAAGGTCGCTCGGTGTCTGCAGCATGTGTCGTCGGTCGGTCGGTTAGTTGATTCCTTCAACGCGCGACAGTCTCGAAAACGGTTTCACCACATCAGTTCATAAGTTCCTATACATTTTTCGGGAATTTTTAACCTCTTGCGGGCGCCGATATTTTTTAAATATTCAAAACCTTCAACAGAAGAAGGTGAATTATGCATCGAAATCATACATGGTGAAGAAAAAGAGAAGTATGTGTCGGCAATTCAATATTCGAGTAATTAAATTATACGTTGGTAACTTTGTATCTCGGATATGAAAGTCTGATGTCTCGAAAATGGCGACATTTGTCCTCAAAGGGTTAAAGAATGCAGCTATAACATATTTTACTATTTTGAATGTTACTGTGGTCATCGAACTAAATCAGAACACGACTAAATTGGAAAGAATTAAATGAACAAGCTAGTGCTAAAAATGTGAAAACGTAATTGGAGCAAGAAGGATCCAAAGATCGTAGCAATAATGTATTCAGTTTCATTGGCTACGATTTCTTCCTATTTTGTGGGTAATTCTTCTATTCCACTTGTACAAAAGGAGTTTGGTTGTAATACAAGAAGGAATCATACATGGTTTATTCATTTTCCAAATCGAGTAATTCGGTGAAAAGAATCTGGAGAAGTTTGATGGAATTATTTGTTACTAATTAAACACCAAAATTTGGAAATATTCGAAAAGTGGTTTTTCATTTATTGCTAATCAATTATTATATTAACTATCACAGTTTTACTTATTACTAATTAATTATTATATTAAATATTATATTTCTTTTGTTACTAATTTATTAGTATAGTCACTATTACATTTTCATTTATTAATAATTATTATATTAAATATTATATTACTCTTCATTATTAATCAATAGTAAACCATTTCGAGATACTCAAACAGCAATTACTCAGTTACTACTAATTAATAACTACCAAACAGTAAAAAATATCCACGAAACGAAATTAATCATTCTAACTCATGAGAGTATTCACGTATAATTTAAATAGGAACTTATGGACTGATTTAATACATCGTAACCACTGCGGTAATACGATCCGTGTTCCGCGCAACGATCGCCCGTGCTCTTTCGTCAGAATCGAATTTAAATCACGCATCTTCGGGGACCGCGACACACGATCTTTCTTCCGTGCGCGACACGTCTCGCGGAGCCAGGAGATTTTTTGGCGGTAACCGTGGGCGAGCGAACCGAAAACTACGCCGCTATTTTCTAGACGCCGCGCACTTTATTTATATACCCGATACTCAAATTTGTGGAAAACGTGCGCGTACGTCGCCACGAGACCTTGGGACATCGGTCGAGCTTTTATTAATCACCACTTGCGCTGGAATTGCGTGGACACGTACAGTGCTGTGCAAAAGTTTCTCGGTTAACACTTTGCACTCGAAAGTTTGTTACTAGAAATATTCAGCATTTCCTAACGAGTCGTGGAAAATACTTTTGAAAATTAATTTATCAGGGTATCAGGCGAAACGAAGAATTTTATATTAATATTTCACATATCGATGTAATATACAAAGCTGAACACGTTGACTGCCACGAGAATTTCGAACGTTTTATATACCAATACATATTTCCTTATAACAAGAGCAAATGGTATCAGAAATAATTATTAGTGATTCGGTGTCACAGTACTCGTATTGCGTTATTATTTAGCTACTCGTCTTACAAATATTTTTTATTCGACATCAGTTTTCTTATTGTAATTCTGTTTAAACAATTCGGAAGCTCCGGTCACCGGTGACCGTCGTGTTAATGATAAATATCAGAGTTCGTCATTTTGTTACATCACGTGGCAACTGACACCTGTTCCTCGAGCGCAAAGGGTTAACTATGTTTCATTCGGATTTAATTAAATTTTAATTAAAACTCTAAACTACTAGATCAATTTCATTAAAAGTTTTATCTTTTTTGTATTGTTCATATTCTTTCATAAAGAACAATGGTTATATAATCTTTTAGCTACTATAGTATGGTTATTATAGCAGCCTGCTGCTAAGTCATCCTTTGAAACGAGCGGAAGCATCGTGGTTTTCCGTTAAGCCACAGTTCAGGTCAAAACACCATTATAACAGTATCTTTTTTCTTCTTCAGTTTTTTGTGTTAATTTATATTAACGGATGCGATCAAATATTCTATTAATGTTGCTCGTACCCAGTGATCCGCGAATTTCTTTACAGAAGAGTTATTTATTTTTCCTAAATATATGCAGAGTTTTGAACTTTACAATTTCATTAATCCTTTGCCTTGTAATTTATCTAAATTCATAGAAGTTCTGAATAATTTCTTAAGAAAGTTTATTATAGTTAGAATAATTCTCCAACTTTCCGCCAGAAAAAAATATTCTAATATTCAACGTAAAACTAAATTTAGTAGAAATATTCTTAAGTTCAAGAAAAAGCTATCAGGTGAATCGATACGAACTGAATAATATTCATATTCAGCAGATTCGGTCAGCAAATAAGCGAAAACGCGCGAACAAACACGTGAGTCACTGTAGTTGCATGACTGTACAGTAGTTCCGCGGTAGTTGAGAACAGAAGTTACGAAAAAAGATCGAAGAAAACATTGAATTATTACTGTAAATATTTAAAGTGATAACAGTGAAACTATAGTAGAAATAATTTCCATCATTCTTTTAGAATGATACAATTTTAGCTAATTGATCGTAAACTAAACTAAAATGAAAATAGGAACCATAAAATATAATAAATTCTAACATTCTTCGTAAAAGTTAAAGTAAATGGAAAGACTTCTATTATGAAGGCAATCTTATCTACACATTACCTAAATTGCACTTCGTGTATCAGGAGCAAGCACTCCAATTAAATTATTTTTCTTCTTTTTACGAAATAATTTCAAGTAACAGCTCGCCATGAATCGCTTCAGACGAGTTTGTCACGCGCGGCAGTTAATCAATTGCCAGCGCAAGTGGTTAATGCATAGTGCAGCATGAATCCTCGGATGCACCGGTGCGCTGACCATGTTCCCACTGTTCTAGACGAATCTTTTCCGGTCACGTAGGATTCCACAGTCTTGCGGAATTCAACGGCGGATTTTCACGGGACACGCGTCCCGTCATGCGAATTTCTCGAGATAATAGGCGAGATCACGCCACCAATTTGGTTGTCCATTGTTGGCGCGGAATATTCGGTTCAGCATTAAGTTCGTTCACCTTTCCATCGCGTATGTAGAAGGATTATTGACTGCGAATGTGCAGTGCTGATTGAAAGGAATTATGCAGCATGTGCAATGCCAGACGTTGCACCAACTTGAAATAGTTCGGTCAACGGTGACAAATTTAGGGGATAGGTACATTGGATGTTTGCTTCTTATTGCTTCTCAGAATTCATTGATTTTTTAGTGGGATTAAATGTGAACTGTGGAATCTGCGTAGAAAGAAGTTTGATATTATTTAAACGACTGTTACAGTTATTAGAGAAACAATAAACAAGTTATTTCCTCGATTTCTGTAACTCTTTCTAAATTATGCCAGGATAATTATAAAGTGGACATGCGTAAGAAGGCCTACAGTTTCGAGAAGTGTTTTATTTTATTCTTAATTGGCCTGCATACATACATTATAATTTGAGGTCACTTACTTGATAACAAGAAAGCAAGTCATATTTCTTTTGTCACTCACGAATAGAAATACATGGTATCGAAGAAAGATCGGTGGCTCAAAGACTATTACATTCGTAACACCATGTACACATTTCGCAATTAATGAACCATGTGTTTCTATTTGTCTTTTTTAATTTTTATTTCGCTTGAATACTATTTTTTTCAAAATTCGAGGAGATTCAATCTCGAGTAACGAAAGTACACACGTCTATTTGAAAAAAAGAGAGCACAAACGATTAAATGCACACTAAAGTGTGATACTTCTCGAACTATTAATCCTCTTTCACCAACATTTGTTTTCGTTAAAGAGCTGTTACGAATCGTTACAGTAACGCGGACTGTGTCAATATGATCTCTAGCCAATGACTACTAAACTCAATCCTTGACCTGTTAACCGGCTGATTTCTTGACCACGAGAAAAGTGAAGGGGCTGATAACGAACTAAAGTGGTTCATCCAACATTGAATGTAATTGCAACTTAATTTGCCTTCCTCCGTATATTATCACAGAATCTAATATACAAGACTCTCAAAACATTGCCCCAAGAAATAATACATAAAAAAGAAGATTAAAAGTCATCCGAAGATACAGCTGAACACAACCAACCATCATCATTCTCGGTTATCAAATCACCGAACCCGCGAGAATCAAAAGAAAAGCAGAGGGGAGAATGCGTATACACAAAACCGCCAATCTCTCGATCCACCGTAGCTACCAAGTGGTGCAACATCATCTCTACGCGCACCAGCCTAAAAGTCCGATCGCGTTTAGATATCGTCCCGTTCTAATTATGCGATACGTCTCACTTCGGTCGGATCGGAATTTCATCGCGCACTCCACCA